TGGGGCTTTTCTGCACAGATTTCTACCGGGCTCTAGCTTCACTGCCACCGGTGCACGGGAGCCGCGCCCAGGCTGTTTGGTCGAGCTGCTGCAGGCTAGCCCTGCGGCGCACGGATCTGCTCTCGGTTCCTTCTAGTGCTTCCTCCCCCAGCGTGCGCTCCCACTCTCCTGCTACTGGGCCCATGTGTCGGGGTCCGTGCCAGTTGGAGGAAAGACTGGCAGGCTGCCTCGTCCTTTGAAGGGCTTCAGAGCTGCACTGCCTCCGTTTAGGGCACCTAAGTTTCCCCAGTACTTCCAGCTGCCAGGACAACTTCGTCCAGCTATGGCGTCCCTGTCTCTTTAAGACTTGCAGAAAGCACTCACTTTTCTTTTGTCTCAGGGGCGCTGGTTGCGGGAACCTGCCCCCAGGTTTTGATTTTCCGTTTCTCTAATATCCAGGACCCCGTGCACCTTGTGTCTGCATTCCGGGTGTGGATTTCTAAAGCTGGTTGTTTAGCAGTCCTGGGCTTTCACTCCCTCCCCGTTCCGACTCCTTTCTTCCCACCGGGTTTTGGGGTGGGGGAGCATTCGGGTCCCGCCTGGCTGCGGCTTGTATCTTACCCCCTTCGTGTGATGCTGAGTTCTTGCAGATGTAGATGTATCCTGGCTGTTGTACTGCATCCACTGGTGTCCCTTTTAGAAACAGTTGTATTTATTGTATTTTCATAAAAATATATGTTTCGGGGAGGAGATTTCCTCTGAACTACTCACGCCACCATCTTCCCATCATCCTTATAATAATTAACTAATAAAATCTTCAGATCCCATAGATTTTTTGGAAGTAATATTTTAGTAATTTCAAATTTCTCACAATTATTAGTCTAAGTTTTCCCTTTCCTTTTGAATTGGTTTTGGAAGTATAAATAATCCAAGAACATTTCTCCATTCATCAAGAATTTTAAAGTATTTTCATTAAATTACACATAATAAAACATGGGTTCTTTTGTCATGACTTGCTAAACTTATTTTTGCCTCATAATCCTCACATTAAAATAATGCTTACTTTATAGTATTTTAATAAAGGTTAAAAGAGTTAAAACATGCAAAACTCAGCACAGGATGTTGTCAAATAGTCTTTATTATCATTGTTATTGCTATTATCATCCTTTCCTAAAATACAAATACTCCTGCATTTATCGTATCATCTTTCATATTACTTTTCTCCAATTTTTTATTGATTCACTGACTTACATTTCCAAGGGTTTATTTATTTCTTTCCTTTTTCCCTTTAAGTAACCACCACTATACCTATCCTTTTATTTCATCATTTTGAATCATTTTTTAGCTATCAGTTAGAATGCTTTCTCTTGCAAGTGTCAGAAAATCTAACCTACACTAGCTTGAACACAAGTGGATTTAGGGCTCAGTTCCTTAAGTGGGGCCAGTTCTAAATGCAGGCATCAATGATAGAAAAATGAACCAAAAACTGAGATATTATTCATATTTCTTTACTCTTTTCCTTACCTTTACCCCTTTGGTCTCCATATGTATGGATATATAAATATATATAATATAAAATCACATATAATATGTATCAGTATTGAATATATGTGTATATATTTATGAATATAAAGAAAATATATTTTACTAGTAGTATATATCAGATTTTCTTTTTCACTAAGAATAAAAAAATTGTCTATGGGTCCCTTATAATGAGTATTGCTCTGGGAGAAGGTAGGTTCCTCACTGTGGACAAGTTCATTAGGAATTTGATGAGAACTAATAATGATAAGGGGGGTGGAGCCAAGATGGCGGCGTGAATAGAGCAGCGGAAATCTCCTCCCAAAACCACATATATTTATGAAGATATAACAAAGACAACTCTTCCTAGAATAGAGACCAGAGGACACATGACAACATCCAGACCACATCCACACCTGCGAGAACCCAGCGCCTCACGAAAGGGGTAAGATACAAGCCCCAGCCCAGCAGGACACGAGCACCCCTCACCCCAGATCCCGGAGGGAGGAGAGGAGTCAGAGCAGGGAGGGAGAGGGAGCCCAAGACTGCTAAACACCCAGCCCCAGCCATCCGGACCACAGCGCAGACACGGTGCATGTGTGGGATCGTGGATACTAGGGAAACAGGACAGCAAGACCTGTGAGTGGGTCCCTGAGGCCGGTGCCTGTGGACAAAGAAAAGCGAGCAGCTTTTTTTCCCAATTATTTATTTATTTATTTTTATTTTATTTTTATTTTTTGCAAGTGCTTTTTGGAAGTCTTAAAGGGACAGGAACACCAAAACTGGACGGAAACGTCCCGGGACACTTACTACAGCAGCAGGGAATCTGGGGATCCATGGGCACTCTAACCCCATGGGCAGCAGGGAGCACGGAGGCCACTCATGGAGATAAATAGCCTCCCGGCCATTCCCCCTCCAATGCAGCTCCACCATTTTGGAGCAGCATCCCGAGGCAGGCCACGCGCACAGCAACAGTGGAGATAAGCTCCATAGCAGCTGGGCAAGAATCAGAAGCCCTTTCTGCGCGCAGCTGCACAGCACAAGCCACTAGAGGTCGCTGTTCTCCCAGGAAAGGAAGGCCACAAACCAACAAGAAGGGAATTTCTTCCAGCCGTCACTGGTGCCAGCTCTGCAAACTATATCTATCACCATGAAAAGGCATAATTACAGGCAGACAAAGATCACAGAGACAACACCAGAGAAGGAGACAGATCTAACCAGTCTTCCTGAAAAAGAACTCCAAGTAAAAATCATAAACATGCTGACGGAGGTGCAGAGAAATACACAAGAGCTAAGGGATGAAGTCTGGAGGGAGATTACAGATGCCTGTAAAGAGATTACAGAAATACAACAAACTCTGGAAGGATTTCTGAGCAGAATGTATAAGATGCAAGAGGCCAGTGATGGAACAGAAACCAGAGAATAGGAAC